TGAGTCAACCCTGAGCCGGTGAGATTTGAACCGCTGACCTGCTGATCTAGCAGTAGCCTGCAGTGCTGCATTTAACCACTGCGCCACCTTGGCTCTAAGTTGAATAACACTTCTAGTTGAATAACACTTCAACAGTTCAACCAATTAAGCCGTAAGGCGGGGAGCTTTTCTTTGCTGGATGTTCACAAAGAGGTTAGGCAGTTTTCTATCTGAACATTTAGATTTCTGCACCAAGAAGATGGTTGGACTAGATGGCCTCGGCCGCCCCCTCAAGCAGCAGGGTTTGAAAGTTCACTCACAAAAAGAGGTAGATGATTATAATTGTGTTGAAACGGCACAGTGGAGTCCTCTGGGTGGCTACCGACTTCGGCGTCTGCCCTGCCTCTGCCAAAGGAAAGTTCATCACAGTTCATTGCAAGATGGTGACAAAGATAACCAGATCCTTCTTTGCTATGCAATAGGATGATTAGGAAGATTGGGAAATTTCCCTTAGTTTTGGAAGACAACACCCAGCAAATGGGTTGCAAACAGCATCTCAAGGAACAGAGCTAAATACTGCAAGATGAATTAATTTATCAAGGCATACAGGTAGTCCTCAACGAATAATCATTTTTTTACCCTTGTTCACAGTTACAACGGCTCTGAAAAAAGGGACATATGACCAGTCCTTGCATTTACAACCACGGCCATGTTCCCATGGTGGTGTGATCAAAATTTGTGTGCTTACCTGGATTGACCATCCAAGAAGTAGACATAGACAGAGATAAAGATTTAAGAGAGGAATTTGGAAGGCAAGTAAAAAAAAAATCATGGCAACTAAAGTATTGAAGCGGGCAAGAGATGATGGATAGATTTTTTTTTCTTTTCCTGTTGTTTTGATTTGCTTCTCCCTTTCCCTCTCTTTCTCTTAAAGCATAGCAATTACAAGTATTGGAGTGGGCAAGAGACGATGGATGAATTCTCTTTTTTGTTATTCTGATTTGCTTCTCCCTTTTCTCTCTTTGCTTATCGCTTTTTTTTAAGGCAGGTGGCATGATTAGAAGTTAGATAGGAAGCAAAGGGAAAGTCTTTTAATAAAGGGGGGCATGATTTAAAGCTGGAATAAGTGATAGAAATAAGAGAAGGGGGAATTTTAGTGTATACATTTTTGTGTAATAAAATGAAAGTAATAATAAGAGAAAATGTGATACAACTGAACAATGATAGACTGCAACCTAATATAAACATGTATTATTATTAGAAATACATAGGTTGATTGAATGTAATACTTATGATTAACTTTGTTAGTTTTATTTGTATTAGAATAGATGACACCCATGCATTGATTTGACACATTTATAAAAAATAAAAAGAATATAAAAAAAAAACTTTTTAAAAAAATTTGCGTGCTTGGCAACCAGCATGTATTTACAACGGTTGCAGCCTCCTGGGCCCTGTGATCATTACTATTAACCCTAACCTTCCCAGCCAGCTCTGACAAACAATGTCAACAAGAGAAACCAGATTCCCTTAGTGATCTCATGATTCACTTAACAATTGCACTGATTCGCTTAACTGTATCAAAAAGGTTGTAAAATCAAGGGTGGATCATTTAACCACCACCTTGCTTAGCAACAGAAATTCTGGCCTCAATTCTGATCATGTCAAGTATCAGGATTCCAAGGAATTCCCTAATTAAATCATGAGCCTCAAGCCAAGCTTCAAAATAAATCTAGTCATTTATTAGGAGCTTCATGTTGGCACGTACCCAAGTGAAGCCAGCTCTGACCCCACGTAATTTACAGCCCCAATCATGACCCTGTTTCCCCACTCCCACCCACCCCTGGGTGTGTCATCAATCACATTCACCAAGAGGACAATTTCTCGGGTTGTAGAGACCACTCCCCTCCCACCGCTGTAAGTAACCCTGGGATACAGCCTTGAGACAGATACTGTACATCTGGAATGTGCATCTGTCTGTTGTTGCCATGCCATTTCATCGGTTTCCCATCCCCCCTTTTCTATGGCAACTCACGAGCAGGCCAGGGATGCTTTGCGAGTTGACATCAAGGATTACCTGTATCTACAGAATTAGTCTAATTTGCAGATCTTCTGCTATTACTACGGTGATCTAAAAGCAGTCGGTATTTTTCTACCCTTGGTTGTTATTGTTCAATTGGGAGAAACTTGTTCACTTGATGGCAGCCGAGATCCATCTTTTATAGCACTGCATCTCCCAAGCATATGTAGCTGAGATTCTATAGCAAACCCACTGAATTTTCGGTGGGCCAATGTTTCTGTTTTAAAATACAATCTAAAATTGGCATCTTACATCTTTATTAGTTCCATGCAACCTGATTTACTAGAATTTCTTCTAGTAAATTTCTTTGGCCTTTGCCCCCAATTTAGTCCACCCCTATCATTTAGCCATGACTATACCCTGTGCAGCTCTTGAAGGCAGATTTTTCTTTTAAAGGAACATTCTCCCTCCTTCTCAAATATTGTCCACCGTACTGAGAAATCCAGACCAGTTTTGCTAAACCCACAAATCTCAAAACTGAAAGGATCGGTTACTTACTTTGCTGTTTTGTCACCGGCTGTTGCTGCTCGCAAGATGCTTCATAAGGTATCTGGATCCTGTCTGCCACGTCTATTAAACAAGAAACAAGCCCATGTCCCAGTTAGCACACACCCTGAAAATTGGCAATGAAAGCGGTGGGCAGTTTGTGTTTTTTAGAATCCCTGATCAGCGGTTAAGGAACCAACGCTCGAGAAATTTGCCGCAAACTAGATTTGATAGTGTAGTCATGATGGGCTTGGAAAAGTCTTCATGGACAACCAGCTAAATATGAGCCAATAGTGTGCTGCAGCAGCCAAAAAAAGCCAATGCAATTCTAAATTGCATTAACAGAAGGATACAATCAAGATCAATTGAAGTACTAATACCACTCTATATAGCCTTAGTAAGACCACACCTAGAGTACTGCATCCAGTTTTGGTCAACACACTATAAAAAAGATGTTGAGACTCTGGAAAAAGTGCAGAGAAGAGCAACCAGGATGATTAGGGGACTGGTGGCTAAAACGTACGATGAATGGTT